TTTCCTGGTCCTTATCTTCTGCTTTCTCTTTTTCAATGTCAGATAAAATGTTTAATGACAGTTTAAAGAAATACAAGACATTGGATAACTACATCAGGTAAAGACTATCCTGCTTTTAATGTTTTGTTATTTCTGGAAAGAAAAATCCTATTGCTAGCTACCCTTGTGCAGCCGAGCCATTTGAAAAATGCACCAGCTGAACACAAACTATGGCTGGGTGTTTTGTCTTTATCTTTTTTCTGTGTCTCAGTGCCACTGATGAAAGGAAGGAAGAGACAGAGCAGCTTCTCATGCTGACACTGACATACTTTGGCACTTGCTGGAGATTAAAGTGAATATGACAAGATCTTYCTTTCTGAGGCAGTAACAGCAATCTGAAGTGCTGACTTCTGTCAGTGTGGCAATGGTAAGCTCCTCTGCCTCTCCCTCCCATGACTGCTGTTGCTATGAGAAAATCATGAGGCACAGGCTTTTCCAATATGCCAGTGCTTTAGGATAAAATGAAGAGCGGAAGAAAATAACGTGAGGCATTGCTGTCGAGAGCTTATGACAATACAACCATGAATTATGCAGCTGCATCTGTCCAATGTGCAAAAAGGGTACCAGTGCCTAGGAATGAACATGTGATKCATAGGGCACAGCTTCCTGACGTTGTAAATTGGTATAAAATTATTAACCTAGCAGGTTCTAAAATGTTASAGCATTTATTAGTTTGACATAAAAGTGCTGCTTTTCCCACTTTGTTCTGCTGTGAGGTAATACCTGTTTGCAAATACACATAATACAATCTGGGAGATTTATTGAAAGTGAGTCCATTGTGAATTCTCAGCCCTTTCCCAAAAAAACTGCTTTTTTCCAGCTTGTTCTAGTCTGAAAAGGTGTGACTTCTATTTCCTCACAGCCCAGACACATTTTCTTGTTTTGTCTTTGGACTATGGTAGAGGAACCCTCATGGAGGAGGCACACAGACTTCCAGCAGATCAGGTCAGCTTAGTCAAGACAAGCTTAGACAAAGCAAAACATAGTCCCCACTTGAAGTGATTTTGATTCCATTCTGAATCTGTTTCCTAAAGGGTAAAATGTTTACTCGTTTATTCTTTCGTCTGTACTTTCACAAGAACTCCCTGTGCCCTTTGAAAGCTCAGTGGGAGTTTATGGATAATTTACAGAATTAACAGGGATGGAAACCTGAGCAGTTTGGTGCATCTATTCTTGCTGGAATGACTTGTGGGTTAGACTTAAGGKGTTTTGTTCCCAAACACAAGAAAATCTTTATTCCAGTGCCACCCTGGAGTGTAGAAGTGGGGCCCTCCTCCATGGCTGGTGCTGCAGTTCAGCAGTGTCTACATAAGGCAGGYACATCAGTAACCTGTAGACTTTGGGATGTGGCCCTTCTGGGAGTGCTGGCATGTTTRCATATCAAAACCAGTTGTACATAGGGTACTTTGAATGGTTTCAATACCATTTAATTAATGTTAATGAAGTTTGTGACTTGGGTGCTGTATTCCATGCAGTAATACCTATCTGTTCTTGATTGATGTTTTCCATTTGCAACACAGATTCAGYGAAGTACAAAGTACAACAAAGACTCATTTGCAGCATTCAGGACTCAAATTCCCTTTCTCCATGCCTTTAGTGTAGGGCAGACACTTGTCACAATATTACATTATAATTGTTTCCAAATGGACACATAGTGAGGTGACTCTTGTTGCATTTTGAATCAGTGTGATCAATATGAAGATTTGATCTAGCAGTTCCACTCTTCCCAAAGTACTAAAGTGCTTGCTGATATTTGATAGTGAGCTACTGTGATCCTCAGTTGAGAAATAGGTCTGGTAAGGCCTTTGAAAGGAATTTAATAGATACATCTCACACTCACAGAGAAGCATGAAACTCTCCTGCTAAAATGAAATTGGGTTCACAAAAGGTCACATCTTTGAATTTTTTTGCAGGTCTGCAGAGCAAATATTACATTAAAGATGAGGGTAGAATCTGTTTTACTGATTATGCTCCAAGTTTTCTGTCCAAATTGTGATAGAGCTTCTTGTAAGCTGAGCAGCCAGCCTTGTGACTTTTGTTTTATTGCTTTGTAGTGACAAACCAAACTAGTAAGGCAATGAGCAGGAAGTACAAGAAGAAGCATGAGCTGCCAAAATAACAGGAAAATACTTTTTCTTATTTTATTGGTGACTTTTTCAATCCTATCATAATYTTTTCAGGAACTGCTGTGACACGAATAGCCACCCAAGCTGGCTTAACTCAAAGTTCATTTTGCCTTTATAAGTACAAATCACTTAAAAATCTGGGAAGGGTCTAAGAAGTACTTCATGTAGATACTGCTATAGGCAGGCGTGCAGATGTCTATACATACTTACCTTTTTATCTTTACATATAGATAGGTGAAACATTTATAATAAATCTATTTTCCTCCATTCCTAAGCTGCTACCGGAAGCACCTTTTTATTAATTTTTTTATTAAATTTGCATGAATAAGTCATTGCACTGTGACACAGGGATGGGGTAGAAACCTCTGATGGGGAGACAGGAATTTAAATGCACCCTTGGGCCTGGCATCTAAATCCAAACAATCTTCCAGGCTCCTAAAGCTTCCTCTGCCACTTCTCTGGGCTACCTGGGCTGGGATGATTCATAAAAAAGTGACAGTGTCMTTCAGATCATATGGCAAGTTTATGTTCAGAAAGCTGAAATTGTCTTTGCTGAACTTTAGGATGTTATTGTATTTGATAAAATATCAACTTGTATTTGATAAAATAGAGGCCTGGAGGATGCTTGTGGAGATTCAGGCCTCACACAGCAGAGAGCTGTTTGCCTTGGTGAACAAAAAACCTTGGGTAAATAGATACAATTAGATATAGGGAGATGGGTTCACAGATAAAAGAACAAGGAAGAATTGAGAAAAGGAACAGAGGAAGARCAAGCTTTCTCCATATGTGAATAGAGACTGATTGTCAATAGTTTGAATTATTATAAAACACGAAGCTTCTTTAGAACAAGCAGCTTTACATGCAGAGTCCATGTCTCAGCCACTGGCAGATGCTTGTCACTGAGTAGCACAGCAGAAAGAAAAGCCAGTTTTGCAGTTTCAGGACAGRATCTGCACCCTGTTCTGCTCCTGCTCTGCCAGAAGCTCCACAGCAAGAAAATGGTTTAAGGGATTTATCCATTGGGCATCTGCAGGAAAGCCTGGGACAATGGCCAGTGCAGGAAAGATGGCACAGTGGTACAACGTGTTTGTACCAAGGCACAGAGCAAAGTCAGGCAAGGACATTTCTGTTACTCACACAGTTCTGCTGGTGGTAGGAGTTGTTTTGTGGGCAGTGAGGCACCAGTGAGTGAGTGAGTGCCTTTCTCCACAGCTGACACCTACTGTCTTTCACAAGTATAAAAAATACTTAAATGGTAGAAAAGTAAATAAAACCTTATAGCAAAGTCTGGGCATGAACAATGCTAAACATCACTGGCTTCTGTACACATATATTATGTTTAGGAGACCAATTCCAGAGGTATTTGGTGTGGGAACCTGGAGTGGAATGTCCTAAGTGCTTGCCTTTTCTTCATGTGATCTTGATGTGCTTGTGAATGTGTAGTAAATTATGTTGCCTTTCTGAGAGCTTGACTAAATCCGGTAAGAAACCCTGGGACAGATCTCAACAGGCCAATTAATGACTTGGAAATACTGCTTGCACCTTCATTAAGCCTTCTGATTTATTCCAGTGTTATTTTGCCTCGCTGTATGACTGTGGGCTCATTCTGCTGTTCCTTTGGTGTTAGCAAACTTTCAGATCTTCTGGATATGCCTTTGTGTTCATATTTGTATTTGTGGTCATCCCAAAGTTTTCCAGGACACAGCACATCACCAAAGATTGTTACTCATTGTTTAAAAACTGCTGAACTGGAATTAAAATTCTTTCCAAAATCAGTTTCTTTCCAAATTTGAATTCTGTGTTGGCCATTGTACATTTTCCATTCATAAACTTACCAAATGACAGGCACTGGGATGGAGTCAGCCATTCAGAAACAAATCTGGGAGTCACCCTAGACTCTGGTTGATGAATCTTACTGAGCTGTGAACACATCCTGAGTGTCAGGATCCTTTCACTTGCTGAGGGAAGGAAGTGTTGAAGTTTTACCCACATGATATTCATAYTGCTCTCTGGAGGCTTTCATCCCAATGTGTTTCTTTTTACAATAACTCAGGGGCACACAGTGAAATCTGCTAAATTCAAGCAGAGTTCTTKCTGAGTGTGGCATTTAGGATATTAATGCTGCAATATGACAAATGGGAATTTGTTCCATGTTGCAAGAGGCATCCTTCACATGAGTGTGCAGGGCTCTGCTCAGACAACACAGGACCATGCACTCTGCAGCTGTAAGCTGAAGGGAGAATTCAACTCTGCAGGGTTTTTCTGTCACCTCTGCCTGCTTGTGGGTGGAAGTGCTGAGTTAACAGCTAAAGGCGATGCATTTTGCCTGTGGGTGACTCTTACCATRCTAATTATAATGTGACTTTTGCCTGGAAAATGTTAAGTGCCAGGTTAGGGATGAGGAAAGAGAACAAACTTTTTTACTGTAAATATTGGTTGTTGAAAATATCCTGGAAGAAATATTTCTGAGGCTCTTAGTTTYGCCTTTTCCTTAACACTGTCAGTTTTGCTGAGATGGCAGTGACACCCTGTGGTACCAGATGCTATCATTTAGGAARCCACTGTAAGACTGCAGTAGCAAAAAGCCAGGGATGTTTTTAATTCCTCTTCACAAATCACATCCTCTGTCCTTCCTGAGTCTTGTACACTAAGTGGGATGTACCTTCCTGGATTTAAATGTTCTAGTCTGACACATCTCTTGGCTTTACAGAAGAGGAATCAGCTCTTTACCTTCACTCAGTGGAAATGCTTATTCTTTTCTGCTTGCCCTGTCGAGCCAGGAGAGCTTGTGGTTGCAGGAGGCATTGCTCATCTTGGGTATTTCCTCTTTTGCAGGGGGTTCACGAGTCGAAAGGTGTGACTGAAGATTATTTGAAACTGGAATCCCTGATCCAGAAAGTTGTTTCTCCTTACTTGGGCACATAYGGTCTATATTCCAGTGACGGACCCTTCATGCACTCTGCCTGTATCTTGGGTAAGAACAACACAGACTCCATTTGGCACAGMACAGAGGACTTCCCAAAATCTTGCTCCATGCAGGGCCAGGGACTGCACAAGAGGTGACTCAGGAGTACATCAGGCTCCAGTTCTAAAACCGTGCTCTGTGTAAGGTTCAGAGTCACAGTGAAACTTGCAATGACAAAAGATGAAAACAGATCATCATGAGAGTGCTCAGCAATAAAAATCAGTGAAATGAATCTAGAGTGTGTTTAGCATTTCCATTCTACCTTCTAACGAGAGAGCTTTAACACAGGATGCTTTATGGACTGTGAGAGGAAGAAGAAGAATCCACTTTGAAAGTGCTCTGTAGTTCATTTTCATTAGTGCTCATTAGTACACAAAGGCTGTTCAAATCAGGGAAGAGAATAGGAATTTGTCTTAGAGAAGACTAACACAAGTCTTCAAGCATGTAAAAGCTTTCTGCAGAGTAGAAGGTGTTCTCCATCCCAAAGGAGGTAAGAGATACAGAGKGGACCTCACATAGCAGGGGGAATTCATAGTACATGGAAGGGAAAATCTCTRATTTCACATGAATTGCCTCTGGAGGATGTTGAATCCTCTCTGCTGAGGCACTTTATACAYGCCATGTACAGCAGCATCCATAATGAGCAAAGGGAAATGTGGGCTGGCCTGGTGGCAGCTCCACTCCTCTTCAGTTTATTTTCTGATTCTTGGAGCTCTGAAGCCTTCGGTGACTTCTGTGAGGGCAGGATTTAGCCAGGATGAAGGTGGAACATCCCACATAGCAATTCACACTTCTTTAGAACAATCATTAGTGTAATAATAGGAGACTTTGCAGATRTTACTCTGGATCTTTGTTTACAGAGAAGCGGTTCTTCAGGCGTTCCAAGTCGGGTGACATCCTTGCCAAGAACCCCGTGGTGCGGTCCAAGAGCTACAACAATCCCCTGCTGACGCCAGTGGCAGAGTACGAAACMGAGGGCGTGGCTGCCAACGGCACCGGCATCCGACGGCACTCGGTGTCAGAAATGACCTCCTGCCTGGAGCTCCAGGGCTACTCCAATCTCAGCACCATCATGGACAATGGTTCCAAGAGCTCCGTGACAACCAAAAGCTCACTGCCAGGAGAGCAGGAGAGGCCCAGCAGCGGATCAGTGCAATGTTCCAGCAAACTCAGCACTGCTGAGCAGCAGAAAGGACTCTTCCACTCAATGGGTGACCCACACAACTCATTTGAGCGGGACAGAAACACTTCCTTGATTCCAGTTCCCTCTTCCAGCCCTGAGAATATAGTGGATCAGATTTTGGAGTCAATTGACTCTGATTCTGAAGGCATTTTCATTGAATTTGGCCGAGGCTGTTCCAATTCATCGGCGTACAATGTGGACGTGAACAGACAGAGCATTGTGTGAAGGATATTTGGAGATAAACCTTGGGTTTTAATATATATGAAATTACTRAGGCACTGAGTCAGACTGTGGGCAAGCTGTCTGTGCCTGGGCAGAACCTCAGCCAGGTCATTACAGCTGTACTGAACAAATGCAAGTTTACAGCAGGTAGGAATCTGCAGAGGGGAAAGCAACTCCAACCCCTTTTCCCCACCCCTGTCACCCTGCAGATGGATTTCCTATTTCTTTATAAACTTAGGGGTTCACAAGATGACAGGTGTCTGGTAAAATGCTGTTAGTGCAGCTGGAAGTGTTTGTTCAGTAAAACAGCCCAGCAAATAGCTGTGCTCACTTCTAATTTTCTAAAGAGATTTTTTTTTGCAGATGATGGGTTATTCTCTGAACTGTAACTCCTCAGCCAGAGTAGAAACATATCCTTTAAAAAATGAACAAACAAATATGAGAGGCTGTGGGCTTTCATGCCACAGAATACAATAATAAACAAGTCTCCTTTAGKTTTTTTCTTGTACATCCTGTGTGCACTCCTTTGCCTAATGGTGAGTTAAGAGTTCTTGAAGAAAGGCAAATAAACAGAAATGTGCTTCCTGATGTCACATGATGCCTGGTGTCTCATGTTCTCTTTCACTGTTTCCTCAGCCAATACCTTATGTCTGCAAGAGTTATGTTGAAATCAGCTTTTAAGGCTGTGTTAATTTGCTCTGAATGTGGCACTTCTGAGAAATTTGCACTGTCAACTCCTGAAACAGCTGTTGTATGGAGAGATTCCATCATAATTCAACTTCCATGTTTCCTAAATAAATAACAATGTGGCCTCTCAGGGGAAATTCTCATTACATTTTTATATTCTTAAAGAAATACTGTAATGCATCTGGTCATTCATCTAACGTGGCTGTGTTCACCTTGCAGCTCTTCTCATCCTGAGTGCTCCTAGCTCTGATCTTCCCTCACAGGAACATGTAAGAGCTGTGTTGGTAGTTTTGCAGAGGATTGATGCATGTGATACTAAGGTGAAGTAGAAATCCTGCTGTGCTGTACAGTTTTGGTAAGGGGGTTTTGAAGTGAAGGCCACTCCATTCTGTGTCTGTGCTTTGGTGGAAGGAATCAGTTGGTATTTCCTGAGGAAATTCCTTTTTGGAGAAAAAGAGTATCCACAGCTTTGTTCTAAGGACACAGTGCAGGGGAGAAGATAGGATTCAATCCATAAAAATTATAACCCCAAACATAAAAAATACAGTGGATCAAGGCCTCTGCACACATTCTTCCCTCAAGGAACTTTAAATATTTTAAGAGTCATAAGTATACTTAATTATTAGAATGTTTAAGCACAGTTTCAATGGAGGGAAGAAGAGGACTGCTAGGACCCTTCCCACAGGAGCTTTTGCATGGTTAGTGCCKTCTGCTCTGATTGAATCCTTGAATCCTCTGGTATGCTGGCAATGAACTGACTTCTCCTACCTGGCACATGTTGGAAATAGAAAATTAAAATCCTTCTCTGCTTGTTTTAGAAGACTATTTAGAGACTGGGTTGAAGACATTGAGTGCATAAGAGTTCATCTAACAGCCACCTCAGCCTCAAGAAGAAGCAGGATTTAGGAAATAGCCTTGTCTTCAGTGTTTCCACTTGTCCAAGACAGGCAGCTGGTTTGGGTTCACTTCACCTTCTCWCATGCACTGTGAGGGGAACTGGCTCTTCTGGGCCACTGGGGCATCGCAGCCCAGCACATCCAACTTTCACATTTCCAGCTCTTCGAGTGAGAGCTTCAGAGTCCTAGCAGCTCTAGCAGCAGCATGAGAAAGATCTAGAGGCTTTCATTAGAAAACTTGGGCTCTTCAGAATGTAGACTCCAAGGTCACCTCACTAGGAACACCCTGGAGAAGGACAGAAAAAGGAAATCCAGCTCAGTCTCATGCCCAAAATTGTGATTACCAGCTGTGGTAGGGTTAAATGAGTATTTTAAAAGGTTGGGTTCACTCACACCTATGAGGATTCATCACTTCTTGTTAGGATGACSTGTGAGTTCTGCTGAGCTGAAGTAAAAGGATGAAGAGGCTCTTAGTTGGCTTCAGTTAATGTAAGTTGCCTTGATGTTTTAATAGAACRTGTGGTTTAGAGCTTGCTGAATTAAATTGATCACGGGTAACAAATGTGGTGGTTGTARAAGTGCTTTGTTTGCTGTGCTGCGGCTCTGGGATAATGAGTAAATAAGGAATAAATGCATTTTGACTTTCAGGGTTTGAGCTGCACTTCCAGGGCTCTCTTTTAATTAAATAAAACATCAACTCATCAGGCTTGCTATGAAGACCCTGAAAATCACAGGATTAAGGTTGAAAGGGGCCAGCAGTGGGGTCATCTGGTCCAACCTCCCTGCTCARGCAGGGTTAAAACATCTGAAGTCAGAGTTCAATTCTCTGTTGCAACAGTGACAGAGTGGAATTTTGTCTCTCGTTCACGTTTATGTTAAAAGATGTAGGCAGATATGATTGAAAACAATGAAACTGGATGTGGTGGTCTTATTGACCAAGTCCAGTGTTCCTTGACTTTAAATGCACAGATATGAATGAGACTGCCTAAATTTTGTGATCCTAAATTTTGTGATCCTAAATTTTGTGATCCTAATTTCTGATCCTAATTTTGTTATCCTCCTACATGTAATCCCAGTGCAGGAAGCTCAGGGATATGGTGATCTTAGACCATGGAGTCATTACAGAGGAGAAAATATGTGTTGAAGAGAATTGTGTGGGTTCTTGCCAAAATGTAAAGTGATGGAGTTTGAGTTTCAAATTCTGCTGCAGGGCACTGTCACTTGAGCTTTGCCCTAAAGGGGCATTCTGAGTATGCCAGCTATTCCTCTCCACCCAGGATAAACTGTGGCACTTTGTGTCCTAATCCAAGAATCAAAAGCTCTTCTTTTCCCTGGTTGGGACAGGTTCCAAAGTGCTCTGAGGGGTAATCCAGAGCAACAGATAGCACTTAAGGTTCCTTTCATCTGGCACTGCAAGCTAAAGGGGCTCGGAGACTAAAAGAGACAAATCTAATGAACAGCTCCYGAGCTCTGTGGAGAAGTAATACAGCTCCCTGGAGTGCTGCTGGAAATTGCAGAACTACTGACTGCAAATAATGCAGTCCAAAAAGAGGGCTTTTCTGTCATAGAAATGGAGAAAATTACTTTCATTATTCAGTTAGCTCCTGGCTCACTTCAGCACTTCTTCAAGAGAAGAGCTGTGGGCCACTTTCTCCTAAGGCCATTATACAGATCCGTGAGTATGTGAAAGTAATTGAACTCTCTGCAGTTCTGGTTAGAGATGTATGGATTGCCCCTTTACTAGGATAATATGGTGTGAGACCATCTTGAAAATAAAGATGTCAAAAAGTCTGTAGTAAAGTTTTTGAGCTGTGGTCTGCAKAGGTGTGGCTGTCATTTCAGAACTTAAAAGTGCCACAATTTGGAGGCAGGGAGCAGAAACCCAGACATCAGTTGAGCCAGCAGTTCTGCAAAGAACATATATAGTCATTTTAATAACAGATAAATCCTTGTCATTATACTCTCAAGGAGAACAAAAAGCTTGATTTGCAGTTGTAGTGTTGTCTGCACCTTTCCACAAAGTCAAAAATACACTTTTAAAAGGAGAATTAATATGTTTTGTGCTGAAGGTGGATCCCAGTCACTCCATATGACCTGASAGGCTCTACCTGTTCTCTGATGTTACTGATGGAATAGGGGCCTCTGGGATATTGAGATTATACCAAATATTTCAACTCCCCTAGCTATTGAGAGAAGTCCCAGYTAGAGAAAAGGGCTTGTAGCAAATAAGAACAGGGTGTTTAATCCACAACTTTGTGAGGAAGGCATAGCAGGGGCATCCAATTGCACTCCTTTGGGTAGACTTKATGCAGTCAGACATCAGAAATGCAAAAGGGGGCAGAATAGCAAGTGAGGCATCCCAAAAGCCTTAGACTGAGCACACKGTGAACTCAAACCTATGCATATAAGATCCGACTTTAGGCTGAGATTTTCAAAGAGACTGAAAAAGAGAGCWGAGTGGCTATATTGCTATTTTTTGTCATCTCAAGGAAAGCAAGTAACTCTCAGGTGGGATTTTTCTAAGGTTTCTAATCAGCAGGGGGTTGGTCTCATCTCTCTACTTCCTCTGGGTATTAATAGTGAGGAGACRTGTGGGTGTAGCCAGCAGAATATTTCAATTTTATTTTACATTAAGACTTTTGATGCAGGATCTGCTCAGTGTCTGATGGCTGCACATGTGGAGGAACAGGATATGAAACTTAATTTCTCATTTCTTTTGTCTTCAGATCATTCTGAAATGCCATGTGCTTATAAAAAGGCCTTGCATCTGTCTGCCTCTCTAGGAATCTGACTAACAAACTTTCTCTGGACTAAAAAATACTCTTCAGTACCATCCAGCTTACTGTTTCATAGGTGGAGTGTGAGCTCCTGTGAAGCTACTGCCAAAAATGTGACCAAAGGTTCTCTGCAATATATTTCACTGCAATATTAGGATCTGGCTAC